CATATCAAAATGGCCCATAGCCCAGGGGTTAGGCCACACACATAAGAAGGAGCAGATCCCTTTTCTCATCTCCTCCTAGTTCAAAGAGGGTTCAAGCCCATGTGAGTATCCTCCTACACTCAAAGTTATGAGGATCTCCCATAGCTATTTTGGGTGAACCCGTGTGGGGCCCAATCCAGTAAGTGGCCTCAGACTACATTAACATCAAAATGGCCCATAGCCCAGGGGTTAGGCCACACACATAAGAAGGAGCAGATCCCTTTTCTCATCTCCTCCTAGTTCAAAGAGGGTTCAAGCCCATGTGAGTATCCTCCTACACTCAAAGTTATGAGGATCTCCCATAGCTATTTTGGGTGAACCCGTGTGGGGCCCAATCCAGTAAGTGGCCTCAGACTACATTAACAGGGCTGGGCCCTGCAAGTGAGTTAGACAGAGGAATGCCTATCTTCCCCTGGCTGGTGCATCACATGGGGTTTAGACATGCAGAGATCTTAAATAGAGCCACAGTGCATGTGTCCAGATGCAGAAAGGGGTGTTTTGCCCTTTTGTACCCAAGTTTTTCAAAACTTATTTTACACCTACAAAGCTGTAAATTAGGAAGCAAAGGTTGTTGTATACCTCTTAAATTGCATTTTCCTGGGGCTAAAGTCTTGAGTCGTTCCTTTCACATCACTGTAATTTCCCCCATCCTTAATTGTCAAGGGCTATGTTAGCCTGAACAGATAGTGGCCTATTGTAATCGGCACTCAGTTTACATACTCTTACACAGGCACACACTGGAGCAATCATGGACATGGACTGTTTGCAACAGAGAAAAGCATCTTCATTACATTAACCTATTTTGTTTGTGATGCATAATCCAGGCACTTTTACAGTAACAGCTAGCACACTTGTCACTTGGAAAGTATAAAATTGGGTTGTAGGGTATATATCATCTCAAATTTTATTCCTAAATACCTTTGCTTTTCAGATAATACCAGCTTAAACAAAGAATTAGATTGTGAGGCCTACATGCAGTAGAACAGTTTGGCTTAACCTTTCTCTGTTTATCCACACGATTTGCTCCTTTGATTTCAGTAGGCTTACTTATTGCCTGTTCTGGGCTGGCTGCTGCACAATGAAGACATAATTTCTCTGATCTGAGCATTTTCCTGGCTCAGAGCTTAATCCTGCGTCTCACAAAGGTGGACTGGTCTGACTATAAACATAAGGTTAAAAATCAATGAGTGAGATAGACAATGTGGGGAGCCCAATCCTGCATAAATGAGAGGACTGCTCAGTGTTTTGGTTACACTAGGAGATAGTTACTTTATTAGCAACAGCAATACCAAATAGGGGAGTTCATAACTAAGTGCCTCTGGGTATGTCTACACTACAACGTTAATTCGAACTAACTTAGTTCGAATTAGTTAATTCGAACTAACGCATCCAGACTAAAAAACTAGTTTGAATTAGCGTTTTGCTAATTCGAACTAGCATGTCCACATTAAGTGGACCCTGAACCGGGCTTAAGGATGGCCGGAAGCAGTGCCGGCAGGGCATCACAGGAGGACTTAGAGCGTGGAGATGCTGTCTCAGGCTAGCCGAGGGCTGTGCTTAAAGGGTCCCGACCCCCACCCCGGACAGACAGTTCTCAGGGGTGCCCCGCTTGCAAAGCAGTCCTGGCTTGGAGTGCCCTGAGTGCCCACACTGGGCACATCACAGCACTCAGCCATCAGCCCGGCTGCACTTGCC